GATATGACAAGTGCGCCCTCAAACTCTGTCCTGTGTATGTGTGAATAAGTGCTTATTGTAAACAGGTATTTATTAAATAATTTTATTTAGTGAAACGCAACCCTCATAAAAAGTATGTGTGTAACATATTCACACTTCACAAGATACATTTTGTGTAGTAAATTCATCAAACGCACCATCCAGCGGAGTATACTCTAGAAAATAAAACCAAATACCCAGTATAATTAATTACTGAGTAATGAGAATGAAATATTTGAAAATATTTAATTTGTTGCGTATGTGTATGATAACTTAGCCCAGTTATTATTTAGTCGTGAAAATCTGGAATCTGAGGGTGCAAAAAAAATCTAAATATTGAGAAAATCATCTTTAAAGTTGTCCAAATGAAGTTCTTAGCAATGCATATTACTAATCAAACATTAAGTTTTGATATATTTACGGTAGGAGATTTACAAAATATCTTCATGGAACATGATCTTTACTTAATATCCTAATGATTTTTGGCATAAAAGAGAAATGTATAATTGTGACCCATACAATGTATTGTTGGCTATTGCTACAAATATACCCCAGCGATCTAAAACTGGGTCACAAATGATGGCACATCAACACTCTCTCTCCCTACACACTGTACAGTGGCGTTACTGCATCGCAGAATAATCCTCCTATGCAAACGTTGGCGTGTTTGTCTGTTCACAGCAGAATGTGTTTAAATAAACGTTATTTATTCTAAGAGGGTTTGTGTCAAGTAAATGAAAGCACTTAAACTCCCACATTGCTTTGTGGATTCAATACAATTCATATTCACGGTCACACTTTATATTAGGTGGCCTTAACTGTATGTACTTACATCAAAAAATATGTACTTACTGTGTTCATATTGTATTGCAAAACACTTTTGCTGCTATTGAGCTGGGATACGGGTCAGGTTAGGGACAGGTTTGGTGGTATGGGTAGGTGTAAGGGATGGGTCAACAGTGTAACTATAAATGTAATCACAGAAATTAATTACAGATGTAATTACATACAGGTATTTTTAAAAATATAAGTACAACGTAAAAACATGTATGTACACAATAAGTGCACTCAGGGATTGAAATTAACTTTTTTACTCTCCAGCCAATTTGGCTACTAAATGTTTAAGTTAGCAGCCATTCATAACGTCTACCAGCCAACATTTAAAAAAAAGACAGAAATAAACCAACAGCTTGAGGCTGTCTACACTGGACGTGACAAAGCGACTGTTGCAATCATTTTGTGTCAGTACTATGGGTGTGCGATATTGACAAAAAATAATATCTCAATATTTTCTGGGATAATAGATAACGATAATTAGACGATATTTGCTGAGTGTGTTATTGTGCTGATATCTTAAGGATACCGTGGACAGCTGACTCCTAAAGTTTTTGATATTCTTCATATTCTGTGCGCTGGTCAGTTCACAGCAGTGAGAGAAATTAATATTTTCCAATAAGTTTAGATTGATTTTTACCTTTTATGGGCATTTTTACCTTTATAAAGCCATTTTTTCTAAAAGTGTACATCATCTTTTGAGTCAAATTCTTACATTTAATCAGTCAATTATAATAATAATACATTTAGGCTGTTACTGAACAAATTAAATCAGTATCAATAAAATTCATCTTTGCAGAAGTTCCATATGAAGTGGCATTTAGATGTATTTACACACGTTAATGCAGCTTAGAGGGACATGGGATGCTTTAACCCGCAGTGACAAATGCATAAATAATGTTTTGATATTTTAAACATGAAATGTTGAATAGTGATATTTAAATTATTAAAAAAATTAAAAGATACTTTAAATGTGAAATTAAATCCGCCAGTAAGTGGCAGCAGTGAGAGAAATTAATATTTTCCAATAAGTTTAGATTGATTTTTACCTTTTATGGGCATTTTTACCTTTATAAAGCCATTTTTTCTAAAAGTGTACATCATCTTTTGAGTCAAATTCTTACATTTAATCAGTCAATTATAATAATAATACATTTAGGCTGTTACTGAACAAATTAAATCAGTATCAATAAAATTCATCTTTGCAGAAGTTCCATATGAAGTGGCATTTAGATGTATTTACACACGTTAATGCAGCTTAGAGGGACATGGGATGCTTTAACCCGCAGTGACAAATGCATAAATAATGTTTTGATATTTTAAACATGAAATGTTGAATACTGATATTTGAAATTATTTAAAAAATGAAAAGATATTTTAAATGTGAAATTAAATCCGCCAGTAGGAGGCAGTAAGTCACTGTTAAGTCAGTCATTGCGATTGAACCGAATCATTTAAACGGGTGATTCATTCAGGAATGAGAAGCAGAACAGTGCTGTGGCTGTGTTTGGAATGTTTTTTGTTAGCGAAATAGCACAGAAATAGCACAAAAACAGCCAATATGTTGTCTAAAACGTAAGTCTCTTAATATTAACTTATTGTTTATTGAACTGTTGTATAAAATCAATATCACATTTGTAACCATGCTGATTTTTTTTTTAAACGGCACTCTTCGTGTGATATTGGTTAACTATATGAATTGATATAAATATATACATTTTCTGCCCCCTTATTTTAAATTATGTGATCATTCTTAATGCATATTAATAGACTGAATCATGCAGTGAAAGAACGCACTCTCAATGCGCACGCGCACTAAAGCCTATGTTCATCTAACCAGACTTCATCTCGTTGCGTATACGTGACTCTGTAGGTGTGTTTAGTTTGGTTTTTGCAATATACTCGATAATGTCATGATGTCTCACGAGTTCAGTATTGGAGCTAAACCTGCGCAGATTTGGCTTGCATGAACTTCCACAAGAAATTAATGAGTGAACATAACTTATGTAAAGTAACCCGGCGTTACTCGCCACAGCTGAATTTCAAACCCTGAGTTCACTGTACCAAATTATCAATTGAAATTTAAGTGCATAGTAGTTAAGGCCACCTAATATAAAGTGGGACCATATTCACAATTTAGCTAGATTTTTTTATTGGTTTTGCAGTAATTTGTTCTAACCGTGCTGAATACTTGCGAGAGTAAGGCTCAGAGCGAAACCGCACCGACCGCAGACGCTCTCTAGGGAGACGCGCTCTTCTCCAGAATAAACGGGGTTTCTTAAGTTTCCACTGCTGTATTTTTCATGACTCGACAACATTTCAGGACACGTCATGTTTGGCTTCAGAAAGATGGGAATCCCGTATCCATGAGTGCTTTCTGCAAATCTAGCAATCCTCATGAGAAGAGCAGATGAACCGAAGTCTGCAGCAGAAAGCTCTGAGAAACAGCATGTACATTTATTCATTTCCAGAAGCTTTCATCTGGACTGACTTACATCACGCTTTCCCACAGGTTCGTTCCTCCCGGAGAAACCCGGGGTCAGGCGCTGCGCTCAAGGGCGCAAAACAGTGTTTCAGACGAATTTAAAGAGTTCAAACCTACAACCTTTTGGAAATCAGCCCAGATCTTTAACCGCTAAACCAGAGCAGCGCATTAATGTTTTAATGTTTGGCTTAATTCAGGTTCAGCTCTTCTGAGGCTTCGTAAAAGCTTACTGAATTGTGTTCTGAGAATCGTGCAAATATTTTAATGCTTCAGTGATTTGTTTCAGTTTTCTTAAATAATTTGCCCAGGAGTGCCACACACACACACACAAACACACACACAGACACAGACACACAGACACACAGACACACGCGCACACACACACACACACACACACACATAC